GGAATATCCCATTTCAGATTCATCTGCAAAGCCCTGCAGGTACAAACCTATCCTTGGACTTCAACTTCAGTTTAGGGAACTCTGGATTCAAAAAGGAACAGCTAAAATAATTTTGTTAGCATTAATTTTGTTTGATAAAATTGCCCTCACCAGGTGCTCACAGAATATTTGATAATAGGCTGCAATTTCCCTCAAATGTTTGCTCTGTGGATTTCTTTGCCAGATTTGTTTGCAGAGTTTATTTTTAGCGTCACAAATTGGTCATCATAAGCATTTGACACTTGGCATTGCCTGTGTGCAGTTAGTCCAAGGGTCCCTCAGAGGGTGGGGAGCAGCTCTGGTGGGCACACGTGAGGAGCTGTGGCTCCTGCCCCTACCCTGCCACAGCTGCTGTTTTGGAATGCTCACAGAATTCAGCTTTTAAGCCAGAAGGGAGTGTGAGTCTGCATTTATCCCTGTAACTTGTGCAGAGAAAAACGTGCCTGTAAGGGGGATCCAGTCTGGGTGTGAAGACATGGACGAGCCATTGCTCCCTTTGTGGCTGTATTTTATCAACCTCACGGTTCAAAATCTGCTCCATATCCTGAGCTTGTTTGGTTTAAGATTCCACTCAGCCTTTCCATCAGCAGAATTTCCTATTTCTGTAAGTTAAGAAATGGGAACTTGGAGGGGATGAGAGTACAGCTGAGGTCATCCTGAGGTCTAAGTGAACGTATTTGCTGAGCTCTAGTTCTGAGCAAAACACTGCTGCAGAGATTTCATACACTGTGGAGTCACTGAGTGTGACTGAATGTGGTGCTGGCACAGAAAATTAAGGGAAAATGAACCAGCAAACAGAGCTGTTGACATTTTTGAGGTGAAGGAAACATTTGTGCTGATTGAAGTGAGTCCTCCAAGTTTCATTCTGTTCTGCAGTTGCTGAGCTGGAATATGTGATTTGCTCTGCAGGAGCAGGACAGGTTTGTAGTGGAAGATGGAGTCAGAAGAGAATTAAGGATGGGGATTTTGGGAGGGCATGGTTTGTGTCAGGTGCTCATCTGGGTGCAGGGGCAGGTGGGAATGGGTGTCCATGGAAGGAACAGGGATGTCCATTACAGCATTTGCAGGACTTTAGCTGATGGTGGTGCTGTGAATAATACTAGGTGGGGTTTGTTTCTTAAAACTCTGGTGGCATGGAAGTGGAACAAAAATTAAAATCAGTATGGTGCAGCATTCAATGATAGCTAGGTTCAGGAATGGAGGAAAGGTATTGTTAAAGCTGCAGGAAAAAGGCGGGAGAAGAGCCTGCCTTAAAAGTTAGGGAATTCGTGGTGGGATCTCCAGCTGTGCTGGGGTTCCAGGAAAACACACAGGCACAGGAATCTCTTCAGCTCTTTTCCTCTGGCTTGTCTCCTGCAAGGGACAATTATAAATGTGCCTCTGTGGGCCAGACAAGGTGCAGGGAAGGTTCTCACATCCCTCCTCCTTTGCATGGGCAGATGTCTTCTGCTCCTCGCTGACTTCCCTGGCCCAGAAGCTTCTGGCTCAGGCACAGGCAGATGGCTGCCTGGAAGGCTCCGTGGCTCATCCAGCATCAGGCACTGAAGATCCGTGGCCACTGGCCACTAATCTCCCACCCAGGAGCTAAACCCTTCATCCCCTGCCCAAAAGGAGGTCACTTCAAACCAACCTCATAAAAGAACAGCTCCAAGATATTAAGCTTTTATGACTGTTCCAGTGAATCCAGCACCCGGGGCTCCAGCTCCATGTGAAATACCCCCAAAGAAAATTCCTCTTATGCTGGAATCCAAGAAATAATAAGAATAATACAGCTCAGAAGTCAGTTTCCCATCCCATGAGCTGCCTGGGTTGCAGGAATTTGAGCTGCTCTGTCACACTGGAGCCAGTGATGTGCTTAGCAGATGCCTGCTTGGGTTCAGATGAAGTGCTGCAGAGGCATATGATTCCAGAAGAAGGATTAAAAAGTCAGCAGGCTGTTACAAAGAAGAAATAATTACTTGTAAGCCTTCACTTTTGTTCTTGGCTAATACTGGCTTTGTTTGATGGTTGTTAACCTCTTCCATGCAGGGCATCATCTCTGGGCAGCTGTGACTCCTGTTGGCTGATGGAAAGGGGTGTAAAGCATTTTAAAATGCAAAAATCTATTCCAGAGCACCTGAAAGCACTGACAGGCAGAGCTACTTTTTAAAAAAATACTTTTTCAGGTAGATAAAGTAAACCCCGCTTAATGGTTGTTTAAAATAATAACTTGTGGTGTGAAACTCAGGAAAACCCATGGCGTCTTGTTTAAATAGATTCTCTGATAAATTAAAGAACTTTGCAACTGAGCTGATCAAGCATACAAAAGTGTTCTCTGGAAATGCTGGTAATTAATTATACCAGGATGTGGAAGTTATTGGGTAGAGATGAAGAGAATAGAACAAATCCCTTAAGTGATGGCCTGCAGTTGCTGATGCATGGTGTTGGTATTCTAAAAATAAAATGGACAATTTAAACTACCAGTTTGATCAGTAAAAGGCTTAAAGTGCTTAAATAAATTGTCTAAAGTACAGCCTTCAGTATAGAAATATAGGAATCCATTATGTATGGTATGAAAGTGGGTGGAAATCTTTAGACTGCAATAAAAAAAAAAAAATGAAGCTTTTTTTCTTTCTGCTGTCAGTCTGGCCACATGGGTTTTGCTGTTTGTGTTCAGCTTCTTAAGGCAGAAGTTTCATGACTGTTTTTCTTAATGTTGGGCCAAGTCCTGCATACCTCATGCATGTGATTAACCCAGGATAAATGAAGTGTCTGCAAAAATGAGCCCACTGTCTGTCTGAGGGTAATGTGCTGCAGCAAAAGTCCTGGGAATTGCACAAAAACAGCTGCTAAGTCTCAAGCTTAAATCTGACCAACAGCCCTTTGAAATCACAGGACTTCACTTGTCTCTGCAGCCTGCTGAGACGATTTCTGATTTGTGTGGCTCTGTCGAAGGCAGGGATTCCCTCAGGAGCAGCGGGGCCGTGTCTGGAGAATTCCTGGTGGTGGAAACCCTTCAGAAAACTCGTGAGCTCGAACCAGTCCATGCCTCCCTTCTTCAGCAGGTGTTCTGTGCCTCCCCAGCACAGCCCTGCTCTGGTACCACGGGGCTCCTGGCTGAGCAGACACCGAGAAAGCAATTCCTGTTAGCCACCAAGGCAAATTCAGTAGCCAGAGTGGCCTCCCAGAGGCAAATTCAGTAGCCAGAGGGGCCTCCCAGAGATTCTTGTCTAGCAAAGCAGGTTTCAGTTGGCATCTGGCATCTGTCTCGCTGGTGTCAGTGGCTGCTTCTGGCAGAGGCTGCAGGCAGATCCCAGCAGGCTCATCCAGGGTGGGTGAAGGGGCTTTGAGAGGAAACGCCAAAGACATCTCTGGGTTTTCCTCTTCCCTTGAAATGTCCAAGGTCCAAGGTGGATCTTCCTTTCATTCCTTTTAGCAGTGTTAGAGCACTTTGGTGGAAGCCTGGCAGGCTCAGGTAAGGGAAATCAATCAGCTCAGGAGGTGACATTTGTAAAATCTTTTCCAGCAGAATTAAACCGTGTGCCAAGGATTGGAGCCTTAACTGATGCTTTATGTTTTACATGTGATTCTGCCTGACATAGAGGGTGTTGGTAATTCACTGGTTCTTTTCCTTTCTTCACCTTTTGATTTTGTTTTGTTTAAATTTCTGTCCATTCATGGCAGTTTGCTCAGTTATGAGAACAGTTCCATGGTGGTGCATGAATTAAACATGAGTGAACACATCTTAATTCCTTATTTCAAATGTAAGGCTGCTGTCCTGTGAGAGTTGTGATTTCCTCATCCTCTACATTTGTCTCCTCCTTTTCTTAATTACCTCACACCTGCCTCCCAGAGCTCTTCCCTTCCCTGCACTCTGGCATTGCACACTCCACAGGACTGCAGTGGGGTTGTCTGTCAGCAGCCATTTGGTGTCATGACAGGTATCGATTGTTTATTCATTACTTGAAAACATTTAATTAAATTTGACTGCATAATTAGCACGTTAGCAGCCAGACATGCCAGGGCAGCAAATGTGACTTGCAGACATCCCCAGGCTGCTGCCCTTTGTGAGCAAGGTGGTAAGACAGTGTTTCTGTGGGGTGCTTTGGGATCCTCAAGTGTTCCTGAGTTCCAGATGAATCTCTGCGTTCTGTGTTGTCCTTGTGGTTACTTTTATTCTTCAAAGAGCTGAACCTACACAGAACCTTAAATCCTGATTCTGGTGGGGTTCCCTGAGAACCCTGGAACTGAGGGCAAACTCTTTTCTCAATACTCAAGAAGTCCAGCACTAGGTGTGTTTACCTTTTGTACCTATGGCCAATGCCTTCAGCAGGAGGTAAGGAGAGGGGTTGTAAGACATAATCAATGTGTATTTGAGCTCTTCTCCACTGTTTCCTACCCTAATTTAGACAGTACATTTTGCCTTTCAGCAATGTGGTGTTAATCTTAACAGGAAAACATTTAGGTCAAAAGGGATCTGATGTTCAGCTGAAATTTGATATTGGCCAGCACATGCTGGTTCTCTCTGTGTGCGTCTTACCTATCAGTACTTGAAATACTTCTGGGTTGTTATGCCCATCTGCATTTAAAGAACTTGGGGAGTTGTCAGTATTTTACCACAGAGATATAGACTATAGTGCCAGAAACAATACAAGAGCAAGGTTACCTGACAGAGAGAGTGAAGAGTCCTTGGAAAAGCAGTGTCTTTGCACCTAGAAGAAAAGCTCCCTTTGGTCCTGCAGGGCTGGTGACTAGCAGCCCTGGGGCTGTTGGTCATTGGGCTCTCCTGACATGCTGCGATTCATTTTCTTTTCCAGATGTAATGCAGAAAAGAATTATTTGTATCTAAACACGTAGCTACTCTGTGAATGTGCTTTGCATGGAATAATGCACCTAACTTACCAGGTGGCTCTGCTGAAGTTGTGCTGTGTTCCTTTGAGTCCATAAGCAGACTTTGTCTAACTCACCTTTTCTTTTATTAGTGACAGAGTGTCGAGGGGTCTTGGACAATAATCAGCGATTTTCTTCACTACCAACGTACCTACCTGTGAGCTATCGGCTCTTCAACGCCGAGACATCCTTCTTCCTCAAAGAAGCCAACCAGGACTTGATGAGGAACTCCAGTCTGCAGTCCAGGGTGGAGTCGTTCTTCCCATACAAAGCCAAGAGGCCGCCCGTGTTAAACGCCAGCTACGGTCCCTTCTCCGTGGAGCAACCCGTGCCCCAGGACCTCCTGCTGACTTCCAGCTCTTTCGGCTCCGCCAACAAGTTCACGTACAACTGGAAGCTGCAGGCCTACATCCTGAGCCCCAAGATCTACCTGAGCAAGCCCAGGGTGCAGGTGCTGTTCTACGTGGTGGGCAGGGACTGGGACGAGCGCAGCCCCGCGGAGCGGCTGCCCTGCCTGCGCGTGTTCGCCTTCCGCGAGACGCGCGAGGTGCGCGGCAGCTGCCGCCTCGGGGGGGACCTGGGGCTCTGCGTGGCGCAGCTGGAGCTGCTGCCCGCCTGGTTCAGCCCCCCGCCCGTGCTCACGGGCCGCAAGAAGCCGGCGGAGCAGCCCGAGGGCAGCCCCGTGGAGCTCTACTACACCGTGCAGCCCGGGGACGAGAAGGGCGAGTGCACGGCCGAGGATGGCCGCAAGGGCAACGCCATCCGGCCCGGGAAGGACGGCGTGGACGAAAGCGTGTCCCACCTGCGCAGGATTGGCTCCGTCAGCCTCTACCGGGGCCAGGAGGCCTCCCAGCTGACCGAGCTACGGCTGGACAGCAACGTGGTGGTGTGGCTGCCCTCCAAGCCCGTCAAACAAGGGGAGGTTGTGAATGTTTACGTGACCATTGCCAACAACTCCACGGTGGACCAGTTCATCCTCAGGTAAGGAGGTTGGCCGGGCGTGTTTCTGACGCATTGACACACAGAGGTGTTGGGGACGTGGGATGAATCTTGGCTGATTGGAAGCTGATGCCCACTGAAGGTTGTTCCTAGTTGCTGCAATATCTTATTTTCCTCTTTGCGTGCTGTGAAGAGGATTGAACGCCCCGTCACGGGGAGGTTTTTAGCGTGTCTGCCGTGCTGTTTATCACAGGCCCACGGCGTGCAGCAAGGTAAAAACCACTGCTTTGGCAGGGCCATTCCTGCGCCGTGACAGACAGCGAGGCATCACAAAACTTCTCTGCTTTATGGCGCTGTTAAAATCGGGTTTTTATTGCACAGGCATGGAGTTTGAATGTAGAAAAACTTCAATTACCTGCTTTTCTGTAAGTGTTCTGGCAGAGCTCGCCTCTCCCACACACAGAGTGGTTTTGTTAGGAGAGCTCTGTAGGGAGGGTTTAACTATCCACTTGCAGTTAAGCAGTGTTTGTCTTTGGCAGCACATTTGTCCTTTAAATAAAGCCCAAGGTGTTTGATATTGCTGCTGCCTGGAAGGGGCTGTTAGAAGTGAGTGCCATTATTTTGGACAGGAGTGGGAACAGAGGAACTGCCTTACTGGGTCAGATCACTTCCCTTTTATTTTCATTTTTAGCCGTTTCCCTACCGATCAGATGAAAATCCTTTGAGGATGACAAAGACTGGGAAACTTGTTAATCACTGAAAAATTTGATGTATCTTTTTTTAACTTGTTACCAGGCTTTAAATTCAGTGGAAATTTCCACGGTGATAAGCAACAATTGCTCTCTAAAGCCTCAGGGAATCAGTTTCCCAAAAGATTCTGCACATGAAAGAATTTATTTCTAAGGCTTATATGAATTAGATTAATACATAGTTGACAACCGCCGAGGAGAATAGCCTTTAGAACAGGAAGTGTCGCTTGGCAGATAAAAGGCTTTTATTTGAAAAAGGGGGGATTTTAGTCATCCCAGAACCGTTGTGGTGTTTGCAGCTTTGGTTAAATTGGCGAGATAATCTCCCAGACACCTGTTTACTGAGAGAAACCTCTGTGCTAGAAGTATTTTCTGATGTTGCTACTTCCCTTCTATTGAAAATCCCTTTACACAAAGTAGTAGGAAACAGAATACTTTTGCACATAACAAACAGCAGCGGTGAAAGAAGAAATCCAGAGGCAGGGAGCTGGGTGTTTGTTGGGTGAATGGGAGTGGGGATCACTCTCTGAAGGTCCTTGTCACTGCCTTTATTTTTCTGAAAAGGGAGTTGGAGATAAACAAGCCTGGTGAAATCTGGGGCTGTATTTCTTTGCCCAGAAATGAGTCTGGCTGAGAGGTGCAGGAGACAGAGGTGGGAATGTGGGATGTTGGTAGTTGCCTGTGTGACTTGCTGTTATGGACAGAGAAGATCGCTGTAGTTTTGGGAACATCCATCTGGAATGCACAGTCTGACACAAGTTGGTGTATTGGTGGTTCTGTGCCAGCACAAATGCAGGTGCAGGACCCCGTGCAGTGTCTGTGTCTGCAACGAGAGCCCAGAGAGCAGAGCAGCCAGGGAACAGCAGTGCATGTGCTGGGCCTGCCCAGGGGCCCCTTTCACCTTCTCCGTGGCCATTTGCCTGCTCGGAGAGAGCTGTGTGCTCTGCTCCTCTTGGGCTCCCAGCAGAGCGAGCCCTACATCCTGTGACATGCACTCATATTTAATCATCCCAAAGAAAAACACACCACACGTTATCCCCGGGCACAGCGGGCTTGTTTATTTTCTGCTCCTTGTATATTATTCATTGAGGTATTGCAACATGCAGAGCTGAAGCAAACAGCATGTGATCATTGCTTGGGGGGTGGGAAATAATAGCTACAAATCTTCTCTGGCAAAAGGGACAGACTGGTCTAAATGACCTCATAGCCACAAATCATAGCAATTGAAAGTGTTGTCTTAAGTTGTGTCTTCATTCAGAACCCTGGTACTGTATCTGTGAAATTATCCCTGTCTTTAAATTGTGTCTTCATTCTGAATCCTGGTACTGTATCTGTGAAATTATCCCTGTCTTTAAATTGTGTCTTCATTCTGAATCCTGGTATTGTATTTATGAATTTATCAGTGTTCTTAAATTGTGTCTTAATTCAGAATCCTGGTATTGTATGTGTGAATGTATCCATGTCCTTAAATTGTTTCTTAATTCAGAATGCTGGTACTGTATTTGTGCATTTATTAGCCCAGGAGCACCAGTGAGGTCCAGGAGGATGGATGAATGGTGTGGCAGGGAGTGAGGTGGGTTGTGCAGGGTAGTGCATTAATGTGGATAAACACAGCTCCTCCTTTCTTGCCCCCAGTGAGCACAGGACTGTTTTGGGAGCAGTCCAAACCATCCTGAGAGGTTGTAGGCCTTGTTCCTGTCCTGCTGTGTCACCTCTGGTAGGTCTTTACAGGCATTTTCTACCTGCAAAACAGGAAATGCAAACAGCTGGTCAGCATCACCCATTCAGCCCTTTGACTGCAGGACTTGGATTTCCTCTCATGGAAGGGGTTTGCTGGTTTGCCTTATGTTATCAACAATAATATAAATGGGAAGATCTTGATAAAAGAGATGAAGGAATAGAGAAGGGGGAGGAAAATATTGCCCTGCTTTTCTACCACTGGATTTCTGGGCTCCCAAAAGAGAGGTGAATTACACTTGCTTCTTGATGGTACAGTGAGGAAAATTACTGTTACCTCTAGCAGTTGGTAAAGCATGAATGGAAGAAAAGAAGCATCAATACAAGAAATAAAATAAAAAAAACCCAGCAATTTTTAAAATGAAGATCATTGAGGTCTTGTGTTCTTCCCAGAGCTGCCACAAATTGGTACCAGTGACTTTGGCAGAGCTACCAGGACTGACTGTCACCTCTCCAAGTGCTGTTACACACTTCTCTAATGTGAGTCCTCATTTTGGGCGTGCTGTCTGTGAGGATTAGAAAGCAAAATCCTTAGGGCACGACCCTGTTCTTGACTGCTTTCCTGAGCCCTCACACCCAGCAGGCTGCAGAAAAGGGAGAGCATCATATCCAAATGGAAAGGGAGGTGTTCTTGTGGGGCTGGCTTCCAGAAGGTTACGCTGGATGTGATTGCTGGGGCAGCTGGAGGTGAGGAGGAGGCTGGGGAGGGCTGAGCTGGGGCACAAGGCAGCTCTGACAAGGCTGTCCTGTGTGCCCTGCTGTTTGTTCTGGGGCTCACAGTGCTTCTCCAGGGACTCTCCACAACGAAAGGATCCTGCCAGCTCTTTGCCATGCCATGGTGGGGCACGGTGGGCTTGGCAGAGCCCTGTACAGCATGGGGCCAAGCAGAAGGGGTGGCAGTGCTGAGTGCTCTGTGTCACTCTGCTGGGCAGCAGATCAGCTCTGACTCACTCTGCGAGGTGCTGAACCAGCACATAACCTGATTTACAGCAGCTATTGAGCGGGATAAGTCAAGAGAAAGGGGATGAAGTTGTTACATCCTGATTAGAGAAAAGAGGTGTAACACAGGAGTGTTTTTTTCTTCCCTTTAGGCTTCTTATTAGAGATTTTTCAGGGCAGCTCGCTGCACCTGGAGGGATGTAGGTTGTAATCAGTGCTGCCTTTGTCCAGCAAACAAATCTACCCAACATGATGGATAATTAGGAGTAATAATAAATCTACAAATTGGATAAGGATAAATGCAGTGAGGAAAGCTATTAAACCCACGAGCTGGGACAGCTTTTACATTTCAGTGCCTAATGAGTATTGACAGCAGAGCTGTGTTGGGTGGTGCTGGCAGCAGCTGAAGGACCTGGAGGAGGATGCATGTAATGAGCAGCAGCAGAGGTAGAAAAGGTTGTTATGGTCATAACATCTGTGTAAGTGCTTGGGAATCTCAATATAAAGAGACATTTTGGAGGAACTGGTCACAAAAAAGGGGCATCTCCATCACTAGCTCTGCCTGTTCTGCATGACAGAACTGTCTGAGCCTCCCCAGGGAGTAATCCTCTCCCAGGAGCTTGGCACTGCCCTCAGCTGTGCCAAAAAGAGCAATAAAAATTAACATTTTCAAGCAGTTCCTGTTTGCTTTTAGATAGTGATGTTTTCATCTTACCATATGACGAAATAACATTTACTACCCTGAAATCTGTACTTAATTGTTGGTTCATTAGTTCCTGACACTGCAGTGTGGTGGCATCATGGCAAACACAAGTGACATCGTAATGAACTGAAGTTGAAGGTATCAAAACATGCAAACCAGAGCTGGAATCAGTGTAAGTTTTGTGTTAACCCAGAATTTGGAATGCATTATCCCAAGGATCTGTTTTCCATGGTAAATGGAATGCAGTTTTTCAGCTCTGAGGTGAAAGGTGCTTTTTTTTTTTTACACTGATTCATATTTAAAACCAGCAGAGCTTGGAGTGAAATGAAGAGAGACAGAAGAGTTTGGTGGGATGCTCTGCTGGGTGTATGTGTCCATCTCCAAACGGCAAGAATTGCAACAAAACATTTTACAAGTCCTATGCAGCTTTGCATTGCTTAAATATTTAAGAGTCATTTCATTGCACGAAAGCATTTCAGGTGACATCTGAAGGGAGAGGAGTTTGATCCCCTGGACTTGGTTTTGTTGTCTCATTATTTCAGGATGTATTTTAATTGGAAAATTTAGTTGTTTTATGTTGGTATGGCCCCTAAAGCCAGGTTCTGGTCCAGAGTTGCTCTGGAAAAATGCCCAGAGGTGTGAATTATGCCTTGAAAGGGTTTTATATATTTCATTGGTGAAGGTTTATATACTTCACTGTCTGGTGTTCAGCCTTGTGGAACTTTAAATCTTACTGTTTTTTTTTTTTGCTTGTTTTACTTTCCCTTCTGTAGAATAATTAGTAACAATTCAGCTACACATCTACAGCAGAGCAGGTTATTGAAAGAGAACTACACTGGGGGATTTTGGTTTTAGGAAGTGCTGAGCTACAGCAGCACCTTGCAAGTGCTTTGTTGAGCTTTCTCCCAAGTAAATTCGTAGCA